GTTCAGCAGTCTAAACCTGTGCATCCTGGGACAGGGAAAGCTCACTGCCTCTTTATGCACTTTTCTGTCGTCCAGGCTTGCTCATGGTTGGACTATAGTAGGAGGCAGGGCTCGAAGGAGAGGGTGCCAAATTAGAGGAACTGGTAGAGTCAGTGTGAGGGCTTCCCAGTTAAATAAATACATATTTGTCTGTTTATTTATTTTATGATTTATTTATTTCATGATTGCTTATTCTGCACAGCAAGAGAAACAATAATTACAGTGAAGACTACCCTCAGAATGGGAGAAAATATTTGACAGAAATGCTTCAGATAAGGGATTGATAACTAGTTATTTATTTTTTAAAATCATGATTATAGTTCCCATTTAGCAAAGCCAAAATGGCAACTGAGGGGAGCTATAGGAATGGGAAGACTGTTAGGGAACTATTTTATAAGGACCAGAACCTAAGCAGGGAAATGTTTAAAGAAATAGAAAAGAGAGGACAGATCTGAAAAGCTTTTGTAACATGGAGAATGTTTTTTAAAATACCAGACTCACATGTTCCCATTCTCGTCAGCCCTAATTGTTCCTCATCACCCTGTGGCTTTTCACCCATTGAAACTGGAAAGTCATTATTTCTGGAGGAGGATAGATAAAGCCTAGAAAAAGCAGGCATGGCTGATCTTCCAGGATGAAAATGGGTGTGCTTTCAGGGCCATAGTGAGACAGTAGTCTGAAAGGAAGCATTTTGTATTTCCAAAAGCCAGCTCACTGAGTGACAGAAAGCAGGAAACAACAGCAAAAGATCTGTGCTTTCCTGCAAGCCCGAGCCGATGGTATAAGCATGGAGTTTGCAGTATACCATCGCATTGATGCAGGATATGAGGTCAGGACCATTTTCCTGAGGATGGAATGGAAAAAATCCAGCAGCAGGCAGGATACAGATTCAGAGGGACAGTTTCTTCTTTTCCCTTCCAGGAGTCTTTGTATCTAGGGAGACAGGACAGAGAAGGCAGCAGAGAGCCTGAGGCACTCACTACCTGCTGGAGAGGCATTGGATTTGGGCTGGAAAGTGTTGAAGAAAAACCTGCATCTACCCACAGAAAAGCACTGGATTGCAACAAGGAAGCTGAGTAGGGTCCAAGGGGTGCTGTCCTCTGTACAGACAGAGTGTATGAAAGCAAAGCTGAATTTAGTTGTAGAAAATAAAATGATTTTCTTCCAAAGAAATCAATTGATATAAAATTTTATCTCGGCTACACTCAAGATGCAAGATGTGCAGGGCTGCTGTTTTGAGGTTGGTAAAAATTTTTCCTCCTTTTACTTATACTTGAGAAATTTAGACCCAGGGAAGTTGCCTTGGTTATATAGTTGAGGAACAGAGGTGGGACTAGGATCTGAAGAGGCCCTTGAATTACAAATTTTGATTGAGAACCAAAGGTACAGCCAAAATGATCTAGTCTAGATATTTTTCTAAATAAAAAAAGCTTAAGATGATCTCCTCTAGAATTTTTCCAGATAAGGAAATGCGAGTCTGCCCCCCCCATTTAGATTTGTTTCCAGATAAAGAAACTTAAGTAAATGAAGTGATCCACTCAAAACTTTTAATCTATTGTTGAGGATGAGCTGGGATTCGTCCCCCTAGCCTGGATAGATATGGCAAAATTATCATCCATCCATTTGACATTTATTTTTTAAATTATGTGTAGATGTGAGTGACAATTCTGGCAGACTGCTATATAGTTATTTTATGCTAATCTAGAAAGCTTGGACTTTAGGGGTTTACATTTTTTTCTTCTCTAAAATAAGGGTGATGGCTATCTGACTCTTTTACCATGAGGATCTAGAAATTATTCTTGTCTGTGAAGAGTTTAAGGCTCCTTGGATTTGGCTTAAGGTTTTGAAAGTTTCCATTTTTTATCATTATTTTGTCCTCATGATGGCAGCTTTACCCTGTAATCACTGACTCAGGTTTTTAGGAGTTTAGGCTTAAAGATTGACTGGCTTCATTTTATGGGGAGCTGCATGGCTGCAGTACAGCACAGCTGTGCTGGAAGCAGCAACTCCACAGATTCTGGACAGGAGTGAACTATGATGTGGGACAGAAGTGCTCCTATCATTCATCTAATGATCCTCTGTTCTTTTCACGGGTACGTTTCTCATTAGAATGTTTATAACGTGAAATATGAAGTTGTTTTGTGAGGCTCTTTCCTAGTCTGAAGGATGGGTCAAACAGAGACAGGAGTTGGAAAAGAGGCAGTGTTGTTTATTGCTGAGTTCAAGGTGAGCTCACAAAGCTCTAGTAGCACTCACAAATGCTACCTCCTTCTTGGAGCTAGTAATGCTCATGGACAATGGTCACAGGTGTTTTCCTCCCTCTTGGAGCTCAAAGTGTGCAGACCTGAGCTGAGCCAAGCCAAGGCTGATTTAAGCCAAGGCCATCAAGGCTGAGCTAAGCAGGGATACATCTAGCTAAGCAAGGCTAGCTTCTTTCTCTCAAGGGAGCTGCAGTCAGTAGTGGCTCATTGCCAAAACCAAACTGCCACACATACACATGCAGTACATGCCGTGGCATAAAACAGCAAAGTCATAATTACATTACAAGCACAAAGGTACACTACAACTAATAACATAAAGTGTTTACCCCGTGGCCTTCAGACATGATAAGATTGTACATGAGGGAGCCAGATTAATTCATCCTGACTCCATTTGCAATATGGAAGTCTTGTTAACTTTGTGGACAATCAACTTTTTCTTTTTTTCCTTCCTTGAAGTTGTTCCCACAATTTTGGGGAAAAGAAGAAGGTCTTCACACCACAGTCCATGCCCAGCCTCAACCAGCCCTAGATCATGGGCACAACATGCCTGTTGTACTCAGGAAGGCCTCCGAGTGCTCACTCTTCCATGTAGATCAACCCTGAAAAGTGTTGTGCTTCAATGCAGCATCACCCCCAGACCCATTATTATCTTTTCCCTCATTCCATTTTTTATATTTATCAATATTAGCCAGTAATGGGGAATGGGTTGTGGTGATGACCAATTAAATGTTAATAAGAGCCCAGATCTTAAGGTTAAGTGAGGTGGAAGGAGGCAGGGTCCTCTTTAGTGCTCATCCTTTGGCATGGTTTTGAATAGGACTCGGAGAGCCAGCAGGAGGCGCTGATGCCCGCAGGCTCGCCACCCAGTGTCACGGCTTCTCCCCTGCTGCACACCTCTATGTCTATGGCTTGCGTGCTCTCTCTTTCCTCTCCCTTGTAGCTAAACTTCTTGAAAACACAAATTTCTTAAATGATACAGGATTTTTTTTCCTATTAAATTTCATGATAGTTACAGAAATTATTTTGTAATTTCTGCCTGGCTGCCATTGTGTTGTGACCCCTAGAGTTTAGTATCTTTATGAGTTGAACAAGCATTTTTCTTTTCTTCTTTTCTTTTGAGAGTGGGTTTTTTTTTTTTTTTTTTTTTTTGGTCACAGGAAGGTGGCCAGGTCTTGCTCACTCCTCACCTGGTTTCCCCCTTCCTACATTAAGGATAAAGTAGAACTACAGACACATGCTCCTTTGAGTCAGTGTCCTGGCTTTGATGTGGCCCTGCTGTTCTATACGATGGAGCAGCAGGCAGGTTCAGTGGGCCCTGACAGTCACTTCCAGGTGGGCAGCAGAGAGGAGTTCCCTGGCCTCCTGTGGCTGCCATTGATGAGGTGGTGGTCTCGGAGGTGCTGGTCCAGGGTCTTGGAGCTCAGCAGAGTTGGGTCCCCGGGTCTGGCTGCCACGTGATCTGGTTGTGCTCCGAGGGCAGGCCGCTTCTCCTGGAGGTGGCACTTCCACTGGCTCAATTGCTACAGCTTTCTGAGCAAGGATTATGGTGGGCTCTGCTCATGCACTTCATTTTATCATTTTTAAAAGACAGAGTCTCATTGTGTTGCAATCTTCCTGCCTTGGCCTCCCATGTTACTGGAATTACAGGTGCACACCATCATGCCTGGCTCTTGGTGGGACTAGGAGTTGGCCTCCCACGTGGCCCCAGCCTGCAGACTGCAGCATCTGAGCAGCACACAGCACTGCAGCTGTTCTTCAGGTCCTCCTTCTGAGCTGGACCACACACTGATCAGCCTCTGCCCACCAGGGTGTCTGCCTCAGGCCAGGTGCCCATCCAGTACCTGGGCAAGGGAGACAGTGCATCCTCCACCCACCCGGGGGCTGGGGTCAGTGTGGAGCTCTGGGCAGGGGAACAGGCGGGTAAAGGATGGGCACTGTGTGTATCCGCGGTGGCACTGCTGAGGGGCTTGGGCAGCAGCAGCTGGAGCTGGGGGAGAGCAGGTTGCCTGTGATCTGAGGATGATCTTCGAACTGCAGTTCCTATGCAAATAAGGACTTCTTTTCCTGATTATCACCTCCTCATTGGGTTTTCTCTGGCTGTATCCCTTTGCAATGTCTGCAGATTCTTAGTGCCAGTCGGAATGAAGATAGGAGCAGGCACAGTGCCACCAGAGTGGGCGTCTCGGTCTGAACTCTGCAAACCATTCCCATGTGTGCTTAGAGAAAATCGACATTCCTTTTCCATCAATTTTGCAAGTGGGATTATGTGCCCTGGAAAGAGACCCTGACCTGGAAAATAAATTGGGCAGAGAACACTGAGTTTCCAGACCGAACGATAAAGACCTAACAAAGCATTAAGGTCTATGCAGTGCTGGGGCTGCAGATGTGGCCGGTTTGCGATTGCCATTATTGCTAGCTGTCCCCAGTTGCTTCTCAGAACTGCCAGGCTGGCTTACATCTGCAGTGGGGATACCTTCTTTGTGCTTTTCTTCTCAGCATCTTTCATCTGATTTGTAAACTGAAGCGGTGGGATGGTTGACAAAGGTTCGCCTTGTTTATTACGTTTTTGCTTATGTCAGTCGAATCGCCGAGCCAAAAGGTTGGAAATAAACATCTGCAGAGCTTTGGCAAACAACAGGGTCCGCCCTCTATAGCTAAGGAAACTCCTTAAAAAACCTTATCTTCTTCCAGCCATGGTAGCACATGTGGGATAAAACTTCTTAGTGGGCTGAGGCCATGTGGGAGGCCTGGGTTCGATTCTTGGCCCACTCTAAAAAGCTTGGCATGGTTTTGTGTGCCTATAGTCCCAGCTATTCAGGAGGATGAGGCAGGGGACCTGTCTAGAATCACATGCACACACACACACACACACACACAGAAGAAAAAATTCTTATCTCGTTATATGCTTTTAATAGGATAAGGCAGTGTTTATTCAAACCTGGACCCTCCTTTGACTCACGACTCCGCAGAATAATTGCATTTATCTTAATCTTGAGACCCATTAGCACAGTTTCAAGGAAAAAAAAAATCAGCTCTTTTTTCCTACATAGAAGGAACTTATATTAAAATTAAAAAAAAAAATACTGTGACAAGGCCCTCTGTGTTTTCATCTTGCTCTGGAGTGTATGAAAAATGTTTGAAAAGTCTAGACAGTCTAGAAAAAAACCTAGGAAAACTTCGATGTGGTTGATGAAATGGTGCCTGTTGAAGAGTACTGTGTTTCCCCCCTTTTTTATTAAGCTCATATGCATTCTTAGTGAGGGAGTTGCGGTAGGATTGGAAAATCTTAATGACATCTCTGCCTGTTTTGTATTCAGGGTCATTTAGGAGTTGTCCCTGGTGTCCCCCTGTCCGCCTAGCACATCATGCCCCCCGTGAGAGGTTCAACTATAAACGCCTCACAGTCCTTCCCCCAGAAACAGCCCCTGTTTCCTCAGAGCTGCAGTGTCCTGTCTCTGTCACTGATGTTTGATCACGGGCCCCTGATGTCGTCATTCTCAGACCTGTCCCTCCCACTGCCCATGACCCTGTGAGAACAGGGACCTCGACTGCCCCTTCTCTTCCACCCCCATGACGGCTAGCAGGTTCCTTCCACACGGTACCCATTTAATGTGGATTTGAAGACGAGGTAGATGTTGGTTGTCACATGGTTACCTGAATTTGGGAAGAGTGACTTCCTGTGTTCGCATCCTGTGCAGCATATGCTTTTTACAGAGTCCTATATCGGCCTTTCCGGGAAGGCAGGGGCAGCCCAGACAGGAGAGCGTGGTGGTCCCTCTCTGTCCCTGCCCATCTTCCGCTCTCTCTGCCATGCCTGTGGCTGAGGTGCCACCTTGGATTGTTTTTCCCTTTGAGATTCTGCAGTACCGTTGTGGCATGTCAGCTGCGGCTGCCTCATGAGAGGGACCGTATTCCCATTTATCTTTCAGTTGGAGGCATCTTGGGTCTGGGCTCGGCCCCTTTGAGCTGAGGCCTGTTG